AAAAAGGCCCAGCAGAAGCACCTCACTGAGGACTACGAGCAGAGGCTTTCCAAGCAGATGGAAGACCTGTGGGAGTGCAAGGCCAGGTACCGGCGCCTGGAGGATCAGCAGGCTGAGATGGTCAGCCAGTTCCAGGCCATGATGCAGTCCCACTGGAACGAGGCCCTCCGGCTCTTCACCACCAGCAGTGCTTCCCCCTAGCCTTTGCCCAAAGCCCCACACCAGGAGGCTGAAGCAGACCCTGAGTCGGAATTTCTGCCCCTCTCCGACCCGCACAAAAAGACCCTGAAGGGGGAGATTCTCTGCAACAACACAAGCGTTCATTACACTGTATACTGCAAAATCCCCATTCCCTCCGCACCAACCTGCTTTCCAGTTCCGTCCTCCTGTGCAGGGCAATGGAAGAAGACCCAGCTGATCAGCTGGGACTCCAGAGGCAGAGAACAGATGGGGGCGGGGCCAGCCAGAGGTGGCATTTGCCTGTTTTCTGAATTATTCAAAATTTCCGCTACCGGTTAGCTAGAATTGGTCAGAACCGCCTGAATACCATCTCTGGTGATAACTTGAGGACGATCTGTACTCCGGTTAGGGAGACTTGAGGCATCAGATAAGAGAAAAATGGAGCCCAGACTAAATCTAGCTGTTTGGTCCTCTTCGCCAGGAAAAGGATACGGATGGACTCCGGGATGCTGGTGTCCAGGCACTCAATTATATCCTGTAGTTCGTCTTGCATGCCGGGGGTTTGGAACAGATCCTCCTGCCAGAGAGAAGCCCCCACGTAACACTCGTGTTGGACCCATGAAACATGCTAGGACATCATACAGGCTTGCTCGCTTTTGATTCAACCTGCTGGGGTTATTTCTAAGCATCGTGATTTGTAAACCACAGTGTTAGCTTAGTTGCGATGGGCAAAACTAGCCATGATCTATGGCAGAAATGGTGTTTTCATTGCCAAATGAAAACTTCATTTGTTAGCCAAGATGAACAATCATCATCTCCTTTTAATGACCCCCATAATTCCTTGCGAGGTGGAGTCTGGGTCACTGAATGGAGCGGATTGTTTACTGGCCCGATGCTGTTCCTGTCGCAAATGTGGAGTTTTGTTCAGCAGATATATTCTCATTGTGCCCAGAAGATAGAAATATCTGCCTCTACTTAGGATTGAACCCACAGCCTCCCATTTGTGAGGGGAGAGCTCCACCTCTAGGCCACCTCACTACTTAGCCAAGACTAACAAGGATGATGAATAAAACCATGCGTACGTAGCCCAGGTGTCTCCAAAATTGGCAATTTTAAGACTTGAGGACTTCCAACTCCCAGAAGCTGAAGTTCAATTCTGGAAGTTGAAGTCCACAAGTATTAAAAGTTCCCAAGTTTGGAGACCCCCCCCCCCCTCCGGCTTAGATGGTTCCTGAACCATACCTGATGGCAGGCATTCTTGAAGAGGTGGTCCACCAGGAGCCAGATCTCCTTGGGTATGTGCAAAGGTCGATCGTTAGAGTCTTCATCTTGAGGCACCATCTTCAGAAGGGACTTCTCCTGATTGGAAAGCAAATGGATTGGCATCAGAACCTCCAACTACTTGGAGGGGCTTATTTTATGTCTCCCCACTGAAAGCTCAACTGATGGCATCTTTTGTTCTGACCCAGGCTTCACCAAATCACGAAGCAGACTCCTTGTCCCGACAAAACCCCTTTTCATTAAGCTCGTGTGAACTCCTCTCGTTCACATCCAACAAAGTCCCGGCAAACAGTCTTCCAAGGGTGAATTTACAACCACAGACCTTATCAGGCTTGG